GCGCCGAGAATACGCAGTGTAGAGAATGTGCAAAGTGGAATAGCATCAGGAGTAGAAGCCCGTCGGCAATGCAGGTTCGATGGATGAGTACCGAAACAGGGCGCAGGGAATTCTCGACATGGTATTCCTAATACAGTTTCTAGCCCAAAGCTGCGCTGATCTGTTTTTGGAAGCTGGGAGCAGAAAAACCTCTAACTTGTAAAATTAAAAAATAAAATTAGCAAAATATTATAAACTGAATAGCTTGAAATCGGTTTCACGTCTTTCTGAATCTGGCGATTGTAAATTTGGTTTGCTATATTTTTTCGCTGAGAAGCAAGCTAGGAGCTTAAAATTAAGGGCCTTATCGCATCTTAAGTTTGCGGCCAGGGCCCATGCAACTTTTCTAGGCTCTAGTCCCCTCCGTTTAAATGCAGTATAGGGGCCAGTAAGGTTTAATAAATTTTTTTTTCTTGAGCGAACTGACTGAAAGTGATTGTGCTGCTGTTATTAGGTTGTTTTCTGAGTCTTTTTTTTTTTATAAAAAGTGGAGCGCGAGTTTTGGCCATACTACACAAAATAACTTATTGTTGGCAAATAGAACTGGAAAAGTAACTAAAAAATTCTTGAAACACCGTCTTACAAAAGTCTTTCTCTTTTTTCCTGTTAGGCTCTAATGGACTTTACAGGGCGGAGTAATTCATTCGAAATCATCTTCGAAATACAACTGTTTGCCTGTTCATTTTTTTCAGATAAGAGTTGGCAATGTTGATTAAATGGTATTCGAAATTTTAAGCCTTTTTCAAATCCTATATCGAACAAAAGTCCATCATTACAATTTAAATATCTAACGGCGTCTCTTGTACAATAATTCACGGGGCATCAACAGTTTTTTTTTTTTTTGCAGTAATGCTTGTCTAGGCCAATTTTCCGCCGGAAACATCACTTATTTTAGTTTATTAATAAGAAATGCGAAAGAATACCGATAAAATCAATTTTTTTTGAAGCTATTCAGTGATATTTACAACTTTCGCAAGACTGGAATTATTAAAATTCATAAGGTGAACTGTGATAAAGAGTAAACTTTCAGGTGCATACGGGATACGCGATGAACGTTAATATTGGTGATCCGTTTAAGGAATTCTTCGTTCTACTTGAAACTGTAACATCGCGTTTCTGGGTCGTTGGAATCGACTGCTTCGACTGGTTAGTTTTAAATCAAATAATGTCGGTAATCCGCCGTCAGTTTATTATTATAAAAGCAGCCACCAAATGAGGGAGTTTTCGGCAGCCTTGCCACTGTTGTCGGCATTTACTATCACTCGAGCTAATACTCGAGTGCTTCTGTTTCTTATAAACAATGAATATGGAGGAGTTTTGATTTTTCGAAAACTCATAATTTTTATGCGTTTTTGCATATATGCAAATGCAAAAACACACATTGGCAAGAGACTGTGTCTGTCTGTCTGCTCGCATCTTTTGTCATCCACATTCAACTCGACAACCACAAAAGCTAGAAGGCTGAAACTTCGAGAGCATGTGCCTAAACCATGTGCAATCCTCCCGTTTTAATAACATCATCCGCTTACGTATGGGTGCCGCGTACGAACGCCTTAAAAAAAATACGAATTTTTGGCAGGATGGCGATCTCGGGTGTCAGAAAGGGCAGAGAGCTGAAACTCTGCAGGGATATCCTCTAATATGTGTGAGCTGCATATTTCCATTGCAGCCCCTGGTTGCGCGCGTTTCTCATGCATAGACGTGTGAAATTTTTGTCTAGGAAAATCACTAAGTCGACAACAACCAGAAGAGATAAAAAGAAGGGGAATGTTCCCTGTACATGTACAAATTAAATATTTCAAATTTACCATTCATGTAGTTAACGATCTGAGTACTTCAAGTCTAACGCAAAAGCGTACTATCGCATCGGCAAGCCTGGCGCATTCCAGCCTGGGTTTCGATGAATCAACATTCTCCGGAAAAAATAACTGGACATGATGCAAAAAAGCTGATAATCATATATGCTAAAGGTCCGTGCTCAGTCGACGCTTTTTCCGCTGCATGCGAGAAGAGACCAAAACATAGCAGATATGAGCCCAAGTGTTAAACTGCAGTGGAGGAACCACTTCTGTTGTTAGCGATCTGCAAGTTTGGCGCAAAAAGACATGGTCACATTGGGCGCTTGACAGAATCACAAAACCCAAATTGTGAAGTTTTCTGTGCCTGATTCCATTATTTCAATTCTACATTTTGACGACAAAATCAATCAACAGCTATAATATTTGCAACAAGAAATTTTGAGGGCGCATACTAAACAGAAAATCGACCTTGTGTCTTTTCCCTTCTGAAGCTATTTCAGGTGATGGCTTAAATTTTTAGTTGTCTAGGTGGCCTCAGTGTATCTCTAGTAAAGACAGCTCAAGCTGTTTGGATTTTGATCCTTTTCATCTGGAAGGATGAAATAATAAACGATATCTTCTCCGTCAGAAATGCTTCGAGAAATTATTCACATAATCAAAAATTCCTACCACATTCGCTTTCTTTTGGAAGTGAAAATTCTCA